AGCGTCAGTTCCAGATGCGGGCCTCCCGCCATTCCCGCCCGTGGGTCAGGGCTGTGGGGAGTCAGACCTGCCTGTGAAGGGACGGTCCGTCCTTTCCCACGGGGGCGGCTGGAGCTGTGTCTGCGCCGCCTGCTGTGGCTGAGAAAGGTGTGAGGGGCCTCGTGGCTCTTTCTTCGCGCAGAGCTCGGGCGGCACTGCCCGGCCGTGTCCCCCCGCAGCTGCTGTGCACGCTGGGATGTGACAGGTTGGAGGAGAGACGGGCTTTGCGGCTGCTCCTGGCGGGAGGTGGTGTGGACAGAGCTGGGGGGCCGCCCCTGGCCTGTCCCCGAAGAGGTGGTTTCGCTTGAGAGTGAGGACGCGCGGCTGTGGTGTTGGGCCGCCCGCTCCCTCAGTCAGGTGGCCACGCCTCCTGGTCCCCGGGCCTGTCTGTGCTGCGCGTGGGTGCACTTCCCCCCCAGTGACCCGCAGCCCGTCACACCTCTTCCCTCCGTCCTTGTCCTCAGGCCAACATCAACGGGCGCGTGCTGGCGCAGTGCAACATGGACGAGCTGAAGAAGGAGATGAACATGAATTTCGGAGACTGGCATCTCTTTAGAAGCACAGTAAGATACTTGATATTCTCCGCACGGCATCAAGCAAGTGCCAGGGAGTGTGGTCTCGACTAGACAGATACATCCGCGGCTGCTTCAAAAGCAGGAAAATGGTTTGGCCGAGGGCCCGCCTGTGTGCTCCCTGAGGCAGGACACAGCACGCGGTGGCGTGGCCTCTGGCCTTTCCTGGAAACCTGGGAGTGGCCCCTCCTGCTCCCGCTTCCCCTTGGCCTGCCTCTGGTCAGGTCTGAAGCCTCAGGCCGTGGCCTCGGGTCTGTCCTGGTCAGGCCTGCGGCCCTCACAGCGAGAGTCCTTATGTCTCTTCAGTGTCTGATCGCCCTCGGCCATTCGCTCCTCACTCCCAGCGTCTCCCGGGCCGCCTGCCCCGCCTGCCTCGGCCAGGACCCCGTCCAGCAGGCCCAGCAGAGCCCCGGCCTTGCTGTTCCCTCAGCCCTGACCCCCCTGCTCCTGGGGCTGGACTGGGCCCCATGCTCCCTGGGGTCCAGCCCACCCCCCCGTCCCGCCCCCACAGTGGTTCCTGATCACAACAGCTTTCTCTCCGGGAGCAGCGCCCAGCCCGGCTCCCACCCACCCCAGCTGCCTTTTGTTCGGCTCTCCAGTTAACCTGAAACTAAAATAGTCACATCACATACATAGGATCCTGACCTTCCTCCTGTTAGTGTTCAAGTGAAGGTGAGCGGCTACGGACACGCTCCCTGGAAATCCACTTACTGGCAGGAAGTGTGCTTCTCATTTCCAGTAGAATAACTTTGTGTTTTATTTTTAAAGTAATTCTTGATGCTTCTAACCTGTGACTTGTCAGTGCGGATGTGAGTGAGACTTTTCCTGTGAGGGTTCTGGACACGGACTGTGGCTCTGAGTGGCCTTGTCTTTGCAGGTGCTGGACATGAGGAGCGCGGAGCACCAGGTGGCCGCGGAGGACCTCCGCCTCCTCAACGAGAGCAACAGCGGCCCCGCCCCCCAGGGGGAGGCAGCGCGGAGGCCCCCCCACGAGCTGCCGCACACCGAGCTCTCGGGCCAGGCCCCCTACACCCTCAACTTCAGCTTCGAGGAGCTGAACACACTGGGCCTGGACGAGGGCGCCCCGCGGCCCAGCAACCTCAGCTGGCAGGTAGGGTCACTGTTCTTCACGTGACCGAGGGGGGCAGGCGGGAGGGCCAGGTCAGCTCATCGGCTCTGCGGGGGCACGAGGTGGTCACTCAGAAGCCACTCCCGACTGACCCGAGGGAGGAGGGCAGGGAAAGCTCGGGGGCGGGGACCCGTGAGAGCCGCGCAGCCAGGAAGCCGGGCTGGTGGGGGCGCCGGGACTGGCTGCTGGGGTTCCGGGTCAGAGAGCTCAGGCTCCACCTGCGCCCTTGATTCTTGACGTCTCTCCTCTTCTCCGTCTGTTCTTCCTGCTCCTCGTTTACTCGCTTCTCTGGGACCAACAGCAAGTCTAACCCAGACACTCACATGGGGGCTCTGGCCCGTGTGGCTCGGTTGGTCGGGTGCCATCCTGTGGACCGAGAGGTCATGGGTTCAGTTCCCGCTCAGGGCACAGGCCCCCAGTGGGGTGGGGGGGCGCAGGAGGCAGCAGACCCATGATTCTCCCTCATCATTGCTGTTTCTCTCTCCCTCTCCCTTCCTCTCTCTGAAATCAATGAAAGCATGTTCTTGAGTGAGGATTTAAAAAAATAGAATAGACAAATAAACAACCCTTCACACTGGGAGCCGATCTTCTAAAAATATTTTATTTCTGTGTTTACAAGACCTGCCTGTTGGCTCACGGCTCCCCTTCCTGCCGTGGCGGCTCCGTGCTCCTCTCCCGCCCCCGAGCTCCAGGCCCTTTAAAGGCTCTGTTCTGTTCTGTTCTGTTCTGTCCTTTTTTGCGTTTTGAGTACATTTTCTTATTCTGAATTGAAATTTGACAGAAACATTATATCTTACAGGTTAAGAAAGGTGTTTTGTTTTTTTAAACTTACATTGAAGATATGAGTATTTTGTTTTTGAGATATATCTTTAATCTTCTTTCACTTTTCAAAGGGGAATTTTTACATTTTATCAATGAAGTTGGCTTTTTGAAAAGTTAAAAATTTGAAAACAAGTGTTAAGATTATTTGTTAACACATCCTTTATACTTTAAAATATTAAACTAATTTTATTAAAATTTATATAAAGTATTCTGTTAACAGGAAAATTATCCATAGTTCACAGCTTTTGTTAAACTCTCATGCAGAATTCTTTTTAAAAGTGAGGACTTTAAAATTCTTAGTGTACACATACATTTCCTAAGCTGGTGTTTACTATGCCCCTCCCTTTTTTAAAGGTGGAGAGTGTTGTGGTTTTTAAAAATACATATTTTTACATTAATTTCAGAGAGGAAGGGAGAGGGAGAGAGAGAATCATGGATCAGCTGCCTCCTGCTCGCCCCATGTGTCCCGACTGGGACTCGAACGCTGACCTCCGGGTTCATAGGTCGCCGCTCACCTTGAGCCACGCCTGGGCTGCCCCGCCCCGTTTGCTCACCTGAATCGAACGGTATTTTCTGTCTTCACAGTCGCAGACGCGCAGAACCCCCAGTCTCTCGAGCCTCAACTCCCAGGACTCCAGCATTGAGATCTCCAAGCTGACGGACAAGGTGCAGGCCGAGTACCGAGACGCCTATAGGGAGTACATTGCGCAGATGTCGCAGTTAGAAGGGGGGCCGGGCTCCACGGCCGTCAGTGGCAGGTCCTCCCCCCACAGCACATGCTACCTGGGGCCCAGCTCCTCGGGGGGCTCCATCCACTCCACCCTGGAGCCGGAGAAGAGCAAGGACG